TAATTTTGACCCCGGCTCATATGAGGATACACAGGAGCAGGTCTCGTCAATTGCTCCCAGACTTCTCCGCCACTTTGGGGTTTAACGCCGCTTTAGCTTTCGGATCAGCATAGCGTGAACATCGCGTGAAATGGTTCAAGCATCTTGGCTGCTATTGTCAGCGCTTGGGGGGCATGTTCTCACGATACGAATTGTGCGCCACAGGTTCTTACCAGGGTTGCGAAATTGGGGTGTCCTGATCAGAGTCAGTGTCCTAAGAACCATGTCTTTGGCCGAATCCTGGCCTTACAAATCTATGGGGGTTTAGTGATTCATCAAGGGCTCAGAATAGAGCGAACTTTTGTCCCGTGCGGAATAATAACGAGGTTAGCGGCTAGAGCCGTATACTGTCATGTTCTAAACTGGCCCTTCATTTTGAACTGCTCCAGAGCACCCCCCAAAGAATTTGTCCAAGCTTTAGTCGGGGATTTCTCATTATTTGAGATCGTCTAGTTGTTTGGGGCCAGGGCATTTGGATTCAGAGCCCCCAACAACACAGCATGTTCAACAATGGTGCCTGCAAGGGCATGTCAACTTTTGCGGCTCAAGACCTTTTGGTCCTAAGCCCCAAACCCCAATCCCTGGACCAAAAAACCAAGAACCCAAAAGCGCAAACCGCATTCCTATGTCCGGGCCCTAAACCTTCAAAAACCCACGAGAAAAAGCTGCCTGGAGGTAGCGTCCAAAGCACTGGACTGGAAAGGGCTTCGTCACCTCAGATGGCGATAAGCCAGCCGGTTCTGAATGCGAGTGAGCAGCAGTGAGGGAATACGTCATCAACACCATGATCAGGGTTTAGGGCTCAGGGTTTAGAGCTTTACGGTTTAGGGGCTTAGGGCTTAGGGATCCCCAAATATACCGGACGCTAGCATCTGCATGCACGCTGGCACTTCCCCCGACACACCAGTAGGTAAAAGGCGTATCTGGACTGCAAGGATTGGGAGCATATGAGAACATTCCCAGGATCCTTATGCAGATGTCTACATGACCTGCCTTGCTGATGCCAATTGATTCGAGCTGCGTCCACACCAGCTGGCAGCATAAAGGCTTGCTGTTGCACCGTGGAGAGCAACTTGGCCAGAGCTACGGACTCTGTTCCGAAGATGTTCCTTAGCCAACGTCGGCGATCAAGGCGGTGAAGGGGGCGAATTTGTGCAAAGATTGGCAATGGCAGGGGCAGCAGCGGCGACGGCAGCGGCAGCCAAGAACAGCGGCCGCAGCAAGTCAAACTGTGAACTGTGTTCAAGCAATAGCTTAATTTCCCAAGCATTGAAATATAGGGGTTATATAGGGACAATGGAAAAGAAAATGGAAGCTACCATATCATAGTAGGGGTTATTTAGGGACTATATTGGGGTTACACAGGGGTTATACAAACTTAGATGTGTTCACATGCATTCAAATACACTTGAATACCGTATATCATACTATAGTACAATATACTATAATATAATATGAATATACGTATTATTGTAATATACTATACTATCGTATAACATACTATATTACGGTATATGTGTTATAGTATAATATACTATATTATACCACAATATACTAGATTATAGTATGTTATACTATATCATCGTATAACATAATCCCAAAGGGTCCATGTAGGTATATGGGATACACTTGGGCCTTAAAGTAAGTATATGGGAACCCCTTTGGGCCCTAAGTATATACCATATACCTACATGGACCCTTTGGGAATGATGCAGAGGTTTAGGCCGCTCTCGCAACGGCGACTCGCGATGCCAAGGATCATCTGCTGCCCCCAGAAGCGACGAGGCACGAACAACTCCCTTGCCTGGGTTGCTGTTAAGGAACTTAAGATAAGTTAGAACTATATATAGGGCTATAGGGATTATATAGGGTTATTATCGGGATTATATAGGGTTTTGGGTTAAGAACCTTAAGTTAAGTTACCAGAATGGGTATACAGGGTTTAAGGTTTATAATTGCGGGTTGAAGGTTTAAGTTGCCAATGGAGAATCAAATGGCAAAGAACATGGAACATGAAATGGAAACCGGGGTAATATCGGGACTTAGTTAAGGAACTTGAATTAAGTTATCACAACGGGTACATAGGAAAAATAAGCTTTCCCCAATGCAGTGGCGTATATTAAGTTCCTTAACAGCAACCCAGTTGCTGGATCTCCCCCGTCGAACTGGTAAATGTTGGATGACAGCCTTGGCAATCCGTCTAGGTCTGACAGTAGGCTCCTCATGCGCATGTCATCCACAAATATAGGGTTTAGGGTTTAGGGTTTAGGTTCTCATGTTGGATCTGACACCTGGAAAAGAAAATGTCCCGCACAACAACTTGCATCATGCAAGACAGGTCAGAATGACTTCTTGAGCCACATGGGAGGTTCGTGTTAGGCTCCTTTTGGGGGGTGGGGCATCTACAATCTACAAGCCCAAAGGGTCCATGTAGGTATATGGGATACACTTGGGCCTTAAAGTAAGTATATAGGAACCCCTCTGAGCCCTAAGTATATACCATATACCTACATGGACCCTTTGGGAAGTAGTATTTGATAACCACCAAAACCATGCCAAGCATCTGCGCGAAGGATTCCTCAGCTGTCCGCAACAACCCCCGAGCCCTACGACGTTTAGGGTTTAGGGTTTAGGGTTTGGATGTTTGAGGCTGAGGGTTTAGGGGCCCAACTGTTGACAATCAACATGTGCAGGCAAAACACCACAATTACCAGGACATAAAGTACATATGAAGTCATGCAGGATTTTACGCACCGTCGCCAACCAGCAGGGAACCCATAGATGCTGCATTTAAAGGAAGGATATCTCTATGTCGCACCGTTTCGGCTGCCATCTTGTTTTGGGGCAGGGGTAAGGTTAAAAGCCTACCTGAGGGTCTTGCGAACGTCACCGTCAGACCAGGGTCAGCCACATGGACATTTGCTGGAAATATGTTTCCTTTCTAAAGATCCCCTACCTACCACAAGGAGCTGGCTTCTCCGGAGGGGTGGATGGAGGCTCTGATCTTGCACATGCCCGAGCATCTCAATCCCGCACAGATAATATATCCGACCCTGGCAAAAACTCTACGCCCTAACCCCACAATCAAACCCTAATCGACCCTGAATTCTGAACCCCACATGCCCCATCCCTAAACGAAAAACCATAACCCTAAATCCCTCAACCCTAAACCCCAAACCCTAAATACCGCCAGGCCACATAGGTTTTCAGGTTCAATCCGTCTATTCCATCCCGAGACCAAAACTTCACTGCGGCAGCCTCAGATCATCTGGGCTTAATGTAAGGATTTATTCAGTTTAGAGTTTAGGGGTTTAGGGTTTAGAGGTTTGGGGGTTAAGGGGTTTAGGATTTTTGGGGTTAGTGTTTATGGGGTTTAGGGCTCAGGGTTTAGGATTCGGGTTGAAGGTTTAGGAAGTAGGATTACGGAATGGGACTTAAGGTTCAGGGCTTAGGGTTTAAGGGTTAAGGCTTAGCTTAGGGTTTAGGGGCCCATGTGGGAATCTAGGACTATAAACGGATTAGTTATAAGGATATATAGATATAGACAGGGTATTGTGGAATAACCGAGCACCAAATGGAAAGGAACATGGAACTGAAATGGAAGCGCATCGGGGATATGTTGGGGTATACGTACTACCCCAGTTCTGGGGAATTAAATGGAAAAGAACATGGAACATCAAATTGAAACTGGCTTCACATTTCTCTTGTTGCATAGGCTTATGTAATGTAGGGGTCTGGATGACCTATATCATGTCCTGTTGAGGTCTACAAGAACCCTATACCGTTGTCGTACAAGGAATCTAGGACCATTACATCTGAGATCATATGAGCTATAGTCTAAACTCCTAGTATCCCTCTTAGTAACCCCTATACTAGTCCCCTATATAATCCCCTATATAAACCCACTTTGAGGAGTCTAGACTATAGGTGCTTGGGAACCCTAAGCCTAAACCCTAAACCTAAACCCTAAAACCCCATACCCTAAAGACTAAACCCCAAACCATAATCCTAAACCCAAAAAACTATTTTTTAGACCTTTGGGTTTAACGCGCTTGGGTTCACGAAGTTTGGGCTGAACTGGCTCGGGTACAAGATGCTTGGATGACAGGTGTTTGGGCACGGATGGTTTCGGTTGTAGGGATTAAGGTTTAGGGTTTAGGAATTAAAGTTTAGGGGGCTAGGGTTTTAGGGATTCGGGTTTAGGGTGTCTGGGTTTAGGGTCTTAGCATCTAAAGCTCCAGGGCTGACAAGAGGGGTTTAGGGCTTAGCGGTTTAACGGTTAATGCAGGGCTCTGAATTAGGGTTTAAGGTTCATGGGTCTTGGGGTACCATCCCCCCGGGCAAGCATGAAAGCTGATATCTTTGTGGGTTTGGGGCTTCCATTTTTTGGGGGGCAATCTAGATTATAGGGATTATGACATATAAGGGTTCTTCTCACAGGAATCATGTAGGAGCTATTTGAGGCAGCTTTAACCAAGTAAGGTCAAAGAACTGACCGCTAACTGTTGGAAACCTTCGCATTGCAGACTTTTGTGCTCTTGATTTTCCATCTTTTTCACGACACTACGCTCAGAAACAAGCGCGATTGAATACAACGAGGTGTTTAGAGGTTCTAGGTTGCAGGGCATCGTCTCGCGCAGCCTCCCCCAAACCCTAACCCCGCTAAAGAAGCCCGCTACACCCAAATTCCCAATACCCATAATCCTTGAACCCTAAACCCCAACCATAAACCCTAAACCCTAAACCCCAGAAAGTGCAGGCTTGGGGGCGACAGCCTCGCAGCAGCGTGCCCCTGAAAGGGCCAGGGGATGGCGCCCTGGCGCGGGTACTTGGCGGAACTCCTCCTCTGTAAAGCCTGCATCACGAGTTGGGATAATGGAAAAGAAAATGGAAACTACCATTTAGGGTTTAGGGTTTGGGGTTTAGGATTCAGTGTTCAGGGATTATAGTCCCCCTTAAGTAGATAGAATATGGCTTTCGGTATATTAGAATAAGATTCCCATATACCCTATATTCTATCTACATAAGGGGGACTATACGGTTTAGGGGTTGCTTAGGGTTCAGGGATCAGGAGTATGTGAAGTGTTTAGGCTTTGGGGCTGAGATTCGACTCTGCAAAGCCCGCATGATCAGCATCCCAGACCCCTTGGGAGGATCCGGGAAGTAGATTCCACTTTAGGGTTTCTAGAAGTTGCCCAATAGTAGTATAGAGTGCCACATTGAAGTTTACACTTTCTAAACCTCCCGGGCGTCCGGGAGCAGGATTCAGGGATACCAACCAATTGTTTAGGGCTGGCCTAAACCCTGAACCCTAAATACATCCTGGAACCTGGTCGGCTTGCAAGTGGATTATCTAGCGCGGGCACATCTGGGGATCTTGGGTATCGGAACAGGCCCCCCCACAAGTGACCTTTGAGGGCTTCGGAACACTCATATCGGGCTTCGGGGTCTATGGCTTTAAGGCTTGTGCCGCCAGCAAAACTTGAGATCCCAGCAGGTTGCCAGACTCCTACTGAAGTGCCAGCAAGACACTGAAGATCATCACGCCCTCGCCTCACTTCATCACAAGCTATGCGTTTTTTGATGTTAAGTAATCCTGGAGACACGCTCTCAAACTTAGGAACACTTGGAGACCCAGGGGGGTATGGACCCCCTGGCCCACGACATGTGGAGTACAGGTAGATCCCGACAAAGTCAGCTGCGCAATCCCTAGTCACTGGTCACGGTTTCTCATCGGGGATGATGGGGATGCAAAGAAATCCCTAAACCCTAAACCCGCCCTAAACCATGGGAGTTCAACTTGAACACACAAAAAAACACTTGCTGTCGCAGCACCTTCCGGCGCGTTCCTTAGCTGCACGCTCGCTTTCAAGATGTAAGACACCACCGACACCAAGAGCTGGACTCGGGTGTGGTAGTGTGAACTACGGAGATCAGGAAACGACTTTACCGGCGTCTCAACCTCTGAAGTCCTTCTACTTTAGGACAGGGTGTAACTGGATGAGGCTCACCACGATCGGACCGCGCTCCCCCTGCAACTCCACAAGGAGGAGCAAGTAGATCTCCTGACGAGCCCAACTTCCATGTTTCGGCGGTCTGCACCCGGTGATTACAAGGAGGTGAAAGCCTGACAAAGATCGTTTGGAGACGACTTTCTTTCTACTGGGTTGCTGTTAAGGAACTTAGATTAAGTTACTACATTGAGGAAACCCTCTTATTTACTATATATACCCATTATGCTAACTTAATTTAACTTCCTTAACAGCAACCCAGTCTGGCCCAGTCTAGACCATGATCCAGGACGAGGTTGTGCGAGGTCCAGTCATTGCGTGTTTCCCAGAACTAGGTGTAGCGCAAGCGCTGCTATCAGTGTCAGTCTTCACACACCTATCTCTTAGGTGGACCCCCCACCCATTAATAGTGACTATAAGGGATAATAGGGATTATATTAGGGTCCTCTAATAAATATTCCATTTATACCACTATTACAGGGTGGGGGGTCCTCCTAACCTATGACTCCCTATAGTTGCATGTCTGCTGCTTCCACCTAACGACTGGGACCACCAGTAGAACGCTTCTTCGCTTTACCATCCGTATTTCTACCAGGTGCATTGTGCAAAGAACCTAACAATCCCAAACCCGAGACACCAAGCCATAAGAATAGTAGTAATAATAATAGTAGTAAGAAAAATAGTAAAAAATAATAGTTAATAATACCAATGGTAATAATAACAGCAATAAAAATAACGACAATAACAATAATAACAACCCTACACCGCCAACACGCTGATGCTCCTGTGCTTCAGGGAACGCATCCTTCAGCGTCTGTCGCAGCCGCACGACTTGCCCTGAGTACATGCTTTCGGTGCCGAGGAGGATCCAACATACGCCCCACAAACTCCATAGTTTCCATTAGATGTTCCGTTTTCTTTTGCCTCCAATTGCTGGGGTAGTATCCCAACATGCCCATAGGTCACTACATATAATCCGAATCTGTTTGGCACGCCAAGGTACGGAGTTCTCTGGTAGAGTTGACAATCCGCACAAACACTCGCGGGACCTTGCCGGGCACATCGCCCAGCCCCAGGAATCGCCGTACCCTTCGAGTCATGTCTTCAATGGTCATTGGCGCTTCTAAGTTGTGGTGCCAGAAACTTCCACCCCATCGGGTTCCTCCGAAAACCACATGCTGATCCACCACTTGGTAAGTTGAATAGGTCAAGAAATCCTCGAACTTCATATCAATGCAGTGCATGATGCCCTCCAAAGAGCTTCGCGTCCAGTCAAACGGGTATGAATTCTTGCGTAGACCCAAGAGTTGAAGTGCATAAGACGGTGCACAGTAGCAGCCAAGGCTGATGAACTCGCAGCGGTCCATGAAGGCTGTGGCTTGTGGTCCGCAAAGGTTTAGAGTTGATCGACGCTCTTCTGCGGGCATTTCCTGGATGAAGCTATATCCTGTTTGAACGTTGGGATCCTTGGCTGTAGCGCGCGGTTGTAACCAGGTAACGGAGCTAAATCGGGGTTGTTCAGGGTTCAAGGTTTAGGGTTTCAGGTCATGTAAAGCTGGCAGACAATTAATTGCACACAGTTGCACTTGTGAAAGAGGCAAAAAAGTTTATAAAACTTTTCAAGGGTTAGTAAGGTCTACTTTGAGGAATTACTGGGATTACTCGTTGTATCGTGGGGTTCGGGGGGTAGGGTCTAGTATGCATTACTGTACTTTTCTTTACTGTGCTATGTTTCACTCATTATGTACTTCACTTCTACTCTTCTCCACGCTATACGATATACCTGTATGTACACATGCACATACATACATATACA